ACAGCTGAGATTATCCATTATCCAAAGTCAAAAGCAGGATTGATTATTGTGGTATTTATTCCAGTGAATATGAGACATAAAATCAGCAGGGTGATATAGATTTAATTCTGGAATATAAACTGGTGAGTCTGTGAGTGATATAATTATTAAATCAGTGGCCAGGAAATGGCTACCTGGATTCACTTTGTTTTTCTTCCCCCTGCTACAATATTTTAAGAACAGATTTCAAACAGACTGATAATTTATATTCCCAAACTAGTGTGAGATTAGGAAATTCACATTGTGTCAAGCCAAAGCTGCCAGACAAATGGACTAGACAATAAAAAAAGGAGTTGTCAATGTCATATTCAAGCTAAATTTTGAAATAAAGGTCAATTGAAATTTGGGAACTCTCAGGAAGTTGAGGATGGAGCTAGTGCAGGGTTTGCAATGTGGTAAAATCTGAGATTCCCCTGATATTGATTCTGTCATTGAACAGACATTGTGCTTTGGCTTGTCCTTACCCAACCTGACAGTGTGTACACATTAGGCCAGGGATGTGCACCCCATTCCTAACTATGCTGGTTTTGTACTACAATACAGAGGTATAGGAGGACCGTGAAAAGTCTTTAAAATGGCTGTCATTTAATGGCACCAGCTTAGGTACAAATACCTAGGTACAAATCCCACAGAGCAAAAATAAAGTGGTCTTACACAAAGAGGATTAAACGAAAGCATAAGCATTACTTACAGAGATAGTTACCACGTATGAGAAAGGTTTTAAATTACAATCCGATAACAGCAGCTCAGCACCTGGCGCTAGGCCCAAGTCTAGCAATTGCCCCACATCGCTCCAGTCTGCTCCTCACTGACACTCAGCAGCAACTAGGTAAGTCGCGCTGTACCGGGATTTGTACATTTGCTGTTCCATCACTCTGGGACCCGGCCCCCTGTCGCTCCGCGGACACAGCCCCCTGTTACTCCGGGGACATGGCCCCTCTGTCTCTCCAGGGATGTGGCCTCTCCAACACTTCAGGGACTCGGCCCCTCCCATTGCTCTGGGCACTCGGCCCCTCTGTCGGTCACCTAGGGCTGCCTGCTCTCACTCGCCTCGGGCTGCCTGCTCTGTAATCCTCCATACTACTCAGATAGAAACATCTTCTAATGTGCTCTTGAATAGCTCAATTCAACCTGTCTCTACCACACCCCCAGGCTGTGTGTTCAAGACCTGAACCACCTTCTAGTGTGGAAAAGCTTTTCCTGATGTTGTCATGTGGTCATGGAGATCTATAGCACAAAATAAGGCCCTTGGGCCCATCGTGTCTGCGCTGGTCAAAAACAATCTCCTAACTACTCTAATCCTATTTGCCAGCATTTCCCATTGCATTTGCTCCTTTGACAGCCAGCAGCAGGTTGGGCACAAGGGCAGCCAATGCTTCAGGGGCTTCTTTGTGGACATGGAGTCACACCGTCCTCCAACCAACTGGGAACTCAGTGGCTGGGTCTGCCTACATAATGCCTGCCTTTCCAGTCGGAGGCAAAAGACCCATGAGAACCAGAAATGGTGCTTGATCGGTCACTTAAGTGACTTATGCTGGTAGTGCAGCAGGAAGCGATGAGGCTCCCCTCCCAATAGCCTTCCTGAGCAGATCATCAGGCTTCGCAGCCAGGAGTTGAGAAAGTCAGTCTCTGTTGTGCAGGGTATGGCCTTGAGAGTGCGAGGCATCATTCTGCTTACACACTGTTGTCGGAAGTAAAAGTATAGAATTACACATTTAACAAAACCTCTTTTTTTTTTCTGTCATTGCTATACTTACTTGGTTTTCTGTCTTCAAACTTTGCTTCCAGGTGCCTAATAGACTAAACATAAATCAGAAGAAAATGATTAAGAGGTTTGAAAGTTGATATTTTTATCACTGTAAAAACAATTACCCCATATTCAGGATGATTAATATAAAAACATAGAACTAGGCCATTCAGCCCTTCAAGCTTGCTCCACCTTCAATGTGATTGTGGCTGATCATCCAACTATCAATTCTGTTCCTGCTTTCTCCCAATTAACCTTAGATCCCTTTAACCCAAAGAACTATCTAAGTCCTTCTTGAAAATATTAAATGTTTTGACCTCAACCTCCTTCTGTGTTAGTGAATTCCACAGACTCACCACTCTCTGGGTGAAGAAATTTCTCCTTATCTCAGTGAGTGGGGATGAGGGGTTCTTTTTCAGGTTCATGACCCATGACTAGCAGTGTTCCACAGGGATCAGTGCCGGAATCACAACTACTTACAATCTATATTTTACAATCTATATTGGTGGCTGGGAGGAATGAAGTGCAATTACTGCGGCCAAACTCGCAGATGACACTAAAACAGGTGGAAGGGCATGTTGTGAGCTGCAGTGGGCAAGAAGTTGGTAAATGGAGTATATGGAGTTGGTAAATGGAGTTTTGGTCTCCCTACTTAAGAAGAGATATACTAGCACTGGAGGGGGTGCAGAGGAGATTTACTAGGTTGATTCCAGAGTTGAGAGGGTTGGATTATAAGGAGAGACTGAGTAGACTGGGATTATACTCATTGGAATTCAGAAGAATGAGGGGAGATCTTATAGAAACATATAAGATTATGAAGGGAATAGATAAAGTGGAGGCAGGGAGGTTGTTTCCGCTAGCAGGTGAAACTAGGACTAGAGGGCATCGCCTCAAAATAAAGGGAAGTAGATGTAGGACTGAGATTAGGAGGAACTTCTTCACCCAAAGGGTTGTGAATCTGTGGAATTCCCTGCCCAGTGAAGCGGTTGAAGCTACCTCGCTGAATGTTTTTAAGGCAAGGCTAGATAAATTTTTGAACAGTAAAGGAATTAAGGGTTATGGTGAGTGGGCGGGTAAGTGGAGCGGAGTCTCAAAAAGATCAGCCATGATCTTATTAAATGGCGGGGCAGGCTCGAGGGGCCAGATGCCTACTCCTGCTCCTAGTTCTTATGTTCTTATATGTGGGAAAATGCAAAGTTGTTCATTTTTGAAAGGAGAACAAAAGAACAGAATATATTTAAATGGAGAATAACAGAGACCAGCAGTGGAAGGGTGTTTTTCTGACTGGAGATCAGTAGCTAGTGGTGTTCCACAAAAATCAGTGCTGAGGCTCTGTTGCTTGTAATATAAATAAATGATTTGGAAGAGAATATAAGTGGCCTGATTAGTAAGTTTGTGGATGATACAAAGGCTGTGGATAGTGAGGAGGACTGCCAGAGGATACAGCAGATATAGATAGGCTGTAGACCTGAGTGGAGAAATGACAGATGGAATTTAATCTAGAAAAATGCGAGTTGACGCATTTTAGGTTATTTAATGCAGGATGGATGTAAACAGGAAATGGCAGAACCCTTAGAAGCATCAACAAACATGGGGATCTAGGCATACAAGTCCACAGTTCCACACAAGTGGCCACATCAGTGGATAAGGTGGTTTATGTTTACCTTCATCGGTTGGGGCAGAGTATAAAAATTGGCAAGTCATGTTGCAGCTGTGTTGGAGAGAGATTTTAAAGAGGAGTGTGAGTCCTGTGTTCAGCAGCACAAAACAATCTTTATTCAGAGCTCCTTACCAATGCAATGTGGGAAAGGTCTCTAGGACACTCTACCTTTCCCAAGAAAGTAGAGATATTTATACATGCTGTGTCACAATGGTTACATTGACACCAGTGTTTCCCACTTGCCCTCTGACCCACACATCCAATCCTGTGAATACATCATCAATGATGGACAACTTCATGGTCCACCCTAGGTCCTCCCATCATCTCGTGATATTTGCCAGACCCCTATCAGGAATACATCCTTGGCCTCTTATAATGTATCTATTGACCACATTATAATACTGACTGTTACTCCCTTCCCAGACGTTTGCTAGCTGCATCATATATTTGCTCATTACTAATGACTTTTTGAATTCTGTTCTGCAATTTATAATCCTTGCTAACCTTAGTACAGAAGATTAGAAAGGATGCTAATTTCTACCAATTTTTATGAAGTTTGTAACATCAACTCTAATATAAAGTTACTTAGAGTTACAGAGTCATACAGCACGGAAACAGACCCTTCGGTCCAACTTGTCCATGCCGACCAAATATTCTAAATAAATCTAGTCCCATTTGCCAGCATTTGGCCCATATCCCTCTGAACCCTTCCTATTCATATATCCATCCAGATGCCTTTCAAATGTTGTAATTGTACCAGCCTCCACCACTTCCTCTGGCAGCTCATTCCATACACACACCACTCTCTGCGTGAAAAAGTTACCCCTCAGGTCCCTTTTAAATATTTCCCCTCTCACATTAAACCTATGCCCCTCTAGTTTTGGACTCCCCTAAAGTTCTTCATTCTCATTTCTCCAGAAACTTCACTTCTTTGCAGGTGGCCTAGGCAATTGGCACACTGCAAAGTCTCCTAGTCATTGGATAAAAGCCACAGCTTACAGCAACTGGCGAGGGAAATAAGTTGCTTTCTTCAGGTTTAGGTTTTTTTCTACTGCAGAGACAGACATGCACCATTCCCCTTCAAAGTTATACAGTTATACACAGTTACACCCAAAACTACAATTCTGTGATCAAAATGACAATTTCGGGAGCAGCTTCCCTTTCACTTGCCTTTGAAAGGTCAAACAAACACAATCACTCTGTCTAGCAGCTGTCATTTACATCGTCTGCTATTTGCATTTTGTAAAATGTATTAAAACACAAGTTTGATACCAGGTTGGACTTGATTGTCATTTCTTTAAATACTTTCCATACTAGTTCTCTCTAACAGCACCTATTCAAATCCCATTGATAGGAATGAAATTCAATCAGTTTTACAGCTTTATAAAGTCATTGAAAAGAAGCTTATTTGGATTCTTTAAGGTTCTAACAAGACTTCTTCCTCACCCTTGTCTTTATAATTTTTCTCTGCCATTTTTCTCTTGTTCTTTAGGCTGTTTGATTAGCTGGATAACGTTGATTGTCTATTCTCTCAAGGTAATAATGAGCCTGTTCCACACTTGTTTCTGCCCTCCTTGTTAATGTTATTTGTCTCTTGGTACTGTTTTACAATTTGTGTATACTTTTTTGTCATTCTAATCTCCCTGCTAATGGAGTGAAAGCTTCTCTCTACTGTCTACAACGATTTATTTGAAGGAAATTCAGTTGAATCACTCAATGTTAGTTTGTTGGTTGCATTTATAACTTTAACATACTTGTACGTAACATGTAGTGACAATTATCTAAAGAGTCTTAATTATTGTGGGATCCGACTTTTCTTCTAGTTTTGTATATATAAATAACAAACTTCAAGCTAGCTGGTACCAGGCCTTTAACAAGGTCCTCCAAGAGTGTTTATTGAAATCAGTCTCTGTCAAAGGCTGACTGCCTACAGAAATCTAATTAAATTTCCCAGTGTCTAGTACATTAAAGTTATTACTGTACAAATATACATGTCTATCTAATATGTAATTATAATTATTTAAAAGCCCTCATCTAAGGTGGGTCAAGCTTTCCCTTTCCATTTCATATTAAAATGGGAAATTTCAAACAGTGTCCTCCTAAGTTACTCTTATCGGAACAGAGGACTCTCACTGCATTCTAGCCCCTTCTTATTAAGACTCTATTGTGATTCTCCGAGGCCTGTGAAGGCCATGATTTGAGCTATATGAAATGCTGCATCAGCTACAGTTTTCTTTAACCATCTTGTGTCAGCTAAAAAAAAAACCACAGGCAGCTATTTTGTCACTTTCAGCAATGAGCAGCTACAACAACTTGTACAGAAGTTTAGTCCAGCCACATCTGGAATATTCCATACAGTTCTGGTTACCACACTACTAGACGGAAGTGCAAGCTTTGGAGAGGGTACAGAAAAGGTTTACCAGGATGTTGCTTGGTTTGAAGGTTATTAGCTATGAGGAGGCTATGGACAAACTGGGTTTGTTTTCCCTTGAAACTCAGAGGCTGATGGAGATTTAAAAAATTGTGAGAGGAATGTATAGAATGGATATCAGAGTCTTTTTTCCAGGGTAGAAATGTTAATTAACAGGAGGACATAGCTTTAAGGAAAGTAGGGAATTAGGAGAGCAAGAAGGAGCCATGAAATGACCTTGGCAAGTAGGGTTAAAGAGAATTCCAGGGTATTCTATAGATACATTAAAAACAAGAGGATAACTAGAGAAAGGGTAGGACCACTCAAGGATAAAGGAGGGAACTTGTGCTTGAATCAGAGGATGTGGGTGAGATCCTAAATGAGAACTTTGTGTCAGTATTCACCCAGGAGAAGGCTGTGGAGGATAGTGAGATTTCTGTGGAGCATGCTAATATGCTCAGGCATTTTTAGATCAAGAAAGAAGTGGTGTTGGATCTCTTAAAGAGCATTAAGGTGGATAAGTCCCCAGGATCTGATGGTATCTACCCCAGGTTATTGAGAGAAGCAAGACAGGAGATTGCTGGGACCTTGACCAACATCTTTGTATCCTTGTTAACCACTGGAGAGGTCCCAGTGGACTGGCGAGTAGCTAATATTGTTCTTCTGTTCAAGAAGGGAACTAGGAATAATCCAGGAAACCATTGTTGCGAAGTTGGGTAGAATGCTTATGGATTGGGAGGTAAGAAATTAACATTTGGTGTTTGTAAAATGGTAGGGGGGGTGAAAGCATTGCATCATCCCTCTAAAAGATGATGTGCTTCTTCTATGCTTAGAGGTTTAAAATGGATGTCTGTGAGCAGCAGCTTGAAGTTTGCAAGTACACAGAGAGCACCCGAATTTAACCATTTGTATCGAAGGGCCATACAGTTCGCAAGGCAAGCAGCAGTTTCTTTACCAAGACAACAAGTTTTGAATTCAGCCAA